CAAGCCAATGTAGGCACCCATTATGAATGACATACGAAGTTTCCCAGAAAGCCCTAGGCTTTAGGGTCATGCAGAGATCCTCAGACTCTGAATTTTATTTAAAAAAACCTAAACAGGTAGCAGGTCTTCCTGATATAAAGTTTGTTTTCTTCAGTCGTAAGCTCTGAAAGCTTAAAAAAAGGGGCAAGCCATCAAGGCATCATACTTAAAAGTCGTGATTTTTCTAGAGAATAATTAAAGTTTGATGCTAGCACCAATCCTTCAATTCTGGCGAATGTGTGGATTTTTTTGTTTCTTTGCTTGCTTGCTTGTTTTGAGGGTTGGTTTTTTTTGTTGTTTTTTTGTCGGTCCAGCAAGTGTTCATGCAATAAGGTGTGAGCAAAGGAGACACACAGACACAGAGGCAGAATGTGGATGCCTCTGTTACTAAGTACATCAAAGTTATTCAATGTATATGTGTTCTGTGTGCTTATGGAGTGTTCAGTTTAGTTTTGCAATACTTGTTTTAACCGTGACGAATAGTTTGTGCTTCTTTAGTCCAGTGACAAGGACCTTCTTGACCACAGGCTGCTTCTGGCCTGACAGGGCTACCTCAAACTCATAGCTCCATGTTGCCATCTTTCCTGGAAGACCATTGAAATCTTTCTGTTATCATATGATCAGATTTTTTTTTTTTTTTTATAGCCAGCACTTTGCATTTCTTCCCAAATTGTAAAACTACGCATTTTGCATTAGCAGGTAGCACCATGCCATATGATGGATGCATGGCTGATCACGTAATGGGCTGTTTGCATCCTCTGTTATTTCCCAGGGCTTTCTGTCGCTTGACCAGACTGCAGCTATTCCTTGTCAAGCGACTGATGTCTTTGGTCATGTACCAGAAGTACTTTTGGTCGTATAGTTGAGAAGCAATTTTTTTTCTTGCAGATGTCTTCTCTTACTTACATAGGGGTGTAGGTGGCTTGATCTGACCAAAAGATTTTTTTTCGCCTCTGCTCTTATCTCCACATACTTTTTCTGAGTGAACTACCTATCTTCCCAGTTGGTGCATTCAGCAAATATTATTTGCTGTGGAATCCTTTGCTAAAGACACTAAAATGTAGAGCAGTTACGGTTCTGATTTTGGAAAAACTGTAATGTCTATCTACAGTTTTCTCCCAAATGTATGCATTTTATGCTTTACACTTTATATCAAAGCAAAATTTAAACATGGTCTATGTCATGCTTTTGTAAATCATGCTTTTCAAAATGGTGGTAGGTTTGGGGTTTTTTTTTCCTTGTAATTATCTAGAATGTGTACAAATCCTAGCTTATTACCATTCCTGTCCCTTATATACTTTGAGCATGTAACAGTTCACTTTTCTGCATTAAAAAGTAATATCCTGAAGACCATCTAGCAATGTCAGAATATCCCAAATGTCAGCTTTAGTTAGATAATAATGCTTTTTTGTTAATATATCAGAAAGGTAAGCAGTCCCACAGTGGAGTTGATCTAACTCTGGAAGTCAATATACTGTTAAGACAATTCATTGACATCCATTTATATTAATAAGAAGGGAGCTGTCTTTAATGAGGCAGTGTGCTTTCAAAAAGGAAAGAGTTAGAAGAGGTAAGGTGTCCTTACCAATTGGAAGTTAATAGTTACGAGTTTTAAAATTGGTAGGCTTTGCTGCTGTTTTACTGGGAAATTCAGGGGCTTGTGTCAGATGTGTTCTAGCAAAAAAAAAAAAAAAGTCTAAAAGAAAACTTTACATAATGAAGGAATTGGATACCAGTAGCTTCCAAGTTAGTGTTATAATTCTTAAAGGTTATGTGCTTGGTTTATGGCATAAAATCCAAAACCAAGGTTAAGCACTTCACAAGGAGTTAGCTGGGGAGATCAGAGAAGTGATGCACAACACCTGCGCAAGGAGCAGTGAGACTACCTACAGGCTAAGGTGACATTTGTGTGTGTTAACTCTCAGCCTTCTTTGGAGCTAAGATGAAAGCTTGGCTGTCTGTCTTCCACATTCATGTAGGATTATATTTAGAAAATGATGAAAACTGAAAACCCAATTTTTTTTTTTGTTTTCCTGTGATTGTGCCCACTTTATGCTGCTGTGGTAGCACTGAGGAATTTAGGGAGGGCCAGGGTAAATGGAGATGCCATATGAGTCTCTAAAGTCCTGTGGTTCCCTGTTACTGGGGAGTGACCAGAATCTTATTCATCTCAGCTGGGGCTAAGTAAAGGACTTAGCCAGTGTGTATCTTGAGACAAAAATGGCTGTGATACAGTAAAAGTCTGATATTTAGGTACTGTAAGAGACAATTAAGTATCTACTAGTACTTTCAAGAGTTTTACATACCCAATCGGCAAGCACTTTGGAAAGTAACCCATTTTTACATAGTTAGCAAGGTACTTGAATGTTCACTTAAGTACATCTTTAAAATCAAATGTGAAATCCTGCTGATTTCAATAAAAGTAAATGTGACCTTATAAACAGAGGTTCAGTGTCTTGGTAGTGAAAAGTCAGAAATCCTACAATTCTTGTGAAATTTATGTTGTATATAAGAACTCTATGTAATTCTTTTTACCTTTTGGAAGACCAACTCAAAATGGATGCCTCACACACTCCCCGTCCTGAAAACAGGTAAGTGCAAATGTGTGTGTTTCTAAAGCCAGCGTGAGGATATGAATACTTGGTCATTCCCCAGTAACCAGGAATCACAGCTTAATCTATATAGTCATCAGTCCAGAATAATTGCCTTATTAACAGTGAAGCTTCTAAAAGTATTATTCATTTGTTCTGTGTGCAGCTGACTTTTCTGAAGAATTTACCTGCTTGATTACTTTTTAAAAGTTTAAAAAAAAAACAACCAAACACACAAGATAAACTTAGAATTTTTTACATAGGTCAAGAAATCCAGTTGCCATAATAATGGAAAAGCACTAACACTGTAATTTGCGTTTGAAAAGCACAGCAAGTAGCAAATAAATTGATTTACTGCCAGACAAGTAAATATGATGCTGCTTCCTTGAAAGCCCAAGTATCTTTTTGTGGTAAACTTATAATAACGAAGGTTAAGGGAGATGCTTAAAGATCAGATAAAAGGTCTCAGAAAAATTTTATGTAATTCTAGCAGATGCAGTGCTGTGTTGTGGTATAAATCTGACTTTTTAAACTGAAGCATTCTTTTTTTTTTAGTACTGGTCATGTCAAGTTAAGGGTCTACATTAAAACAGTAGGTTATATTTTTTAAAATAATTCCCTTTTCTCAAAATGAATTAGTATTTTATTTTCAGAAGGGGAGGAAGTTTCACCCATCTTAAACAGAAACATGCAGCTTCCAACTTGAGTCTGAGGAGTTTGAAGTGCTGGGTAACTGCATGGGAGCACTGTAGAGTGGTCCATGCTGACACACACTCATGCTTTAAGCATTTTATTTCTTTTTAGGACTCAGTTTTGCATATTTGTTAGCTAGTAATTTACTATTGGAAGTAAATGGATTCATGGTGAGGGCAATATTTTAACAAGGAAAAGTAGTAAACCGGTTTCCTAAATGCAACATTTTAAAAAAATACTTGATGCCAGCATGTTTACGTGTTGGGTATGAAAGAATGTGCTTGATATGGAAAACTTTGCAAGAGAACCACTTATTTACAGTCAGTAGCGCATAGGAAAGAACGATGTCTAAACTATTATGTGCATTATCCCCCAAATGGAGAGTTTTTATGTAATGTGCTGATGTGTATGTTTTGACAAGTTTAGGAGAATAACAGGAGAAAAAAATATGTAGTAATTTAAGAATCCTGTATAGCCGGGAGGAGTTATTTAAGGATTAAGTCCATTAGTCAGTAGCAATCAAATATATAATCTGCGAGCCATTTGCTTCAGGTGGACAAAAAGTCTATACTAGATTAATAGTGAACAAACATAACACCTTGAAACTGTAAGTACTGTATAGTGAATTGTTGGCCTACTTGGTTTAAAGCCTTTTAAAGCTACCTAAAGCGGCAGGGAACGTGGTACAAAAGAAAGTTCAAAAAAAATCCTGAGTTGGACCATTACCAAGCAGCCTGACCAAGAACCTTTTTTTATTCTCAGTCTCTGCTTTAAATTTTTTGGGGGGCTTAATATGTTGTATGACATATTTATCACTGCGTTAATTGCCCTCTTTTTCTCCCACCTAAACTTCCCACTTTCTGTCCAGAGTTGCGCACAATCTGTCAGGTGTATTACAGGGCTTAGCTGTCCTTTCAGTGTCAGGCACAGGACCAGCTATCGCTGAGGGTAGAGGACTGGATATGCTTTCAACCTGTCATTGCATCTGACGTGAGGTGTTTTGCAGTGTGAGAAGGATAGAGGAGGGCTTGACCATGGGCATGTAATGACTTATTCCTAAATGTATTTCCTGGTAGAACATCTCTAATACATGACACTTGCTAGAACTAGTAGTTATTTTCTGACATTCAGCAGAATTGTTCCAGTACTTTTTTTGTGATTAAGATAAGTCAGAAGAGCCTCTACAATGTCAACTTTTCATATTACTTTTTTTTTTTTTGGCTGGAAATGGTGTCTCATTTAAAATGTGTCTCAGAAATTTCAGTCCCCTAAACTTTTCATGGTTTTGAAGTAATGATATCACAATTTTAGCTTCTTTTGGAAATAGTTTAGCATTCAAACTGAAATGCGTATGTCAAATTTCAGCCTTGAGCAAATCCTGACTGTCAAAACTCTTAAGAGTTGAAGGAAAATGGCTGTATTTTTGTAACGGAAATATCAACTCAACCTTAATGGTTCGTGACATGGATATATTAATGGATTTATAATTCATAGGAGATTAGAGAAGGTATCTATAGCTACTTTATATTCAGAGTTTAACAAAATGGTTTTCTTCTATCAAATGAACAATCAGTTCAAAATAGGCATTCCTTAAATGATGACTTAGGAGTCAAGTTCTTTAAATGAAAATATACAGTGTATACCTTGGAGATTTACGTTGTTTGCTCTTTTTCTCTTAGGAAGCCTGACAAATAGGAAAATACTACAAAGTGAAGAGAAAATTCACTTCACGAGAACTGAGCTCTGCTTTCATTGGCTTTTAAATTTTATTCGTATTAATAACTGATTAGTGTCAGATCATCTCTGTAGTCTACTGTGGTGAAATTATTAGGTTAAAGCTGGAAAAAATGAAACAATTAAAAAGAAAAAGAAAAAGCAATTTTAGTGTTCAGGAAACTCAAACTCTCCTTAAGGAAATCAGAAAAAGGAGAGAAGTACTCTTTTCAAAGCAGCTTAATACAACAATTAATGAGATGAAACGGAAAGCTTGGGAGGAAATAGCAGAGTGTGTAAATGCTGTAGGTGAAGGAGAGCAAAGAACAGGGACAGAAGTGAAAAGGCGATACCTTGACTGGAGAGCACTCATGAAGAGAAAACGTCTGAATGCAAACATCAAAGTAGTAGGTGCTGGGTTTCACCTTCCTTCATCCAATTTAGATGACTCTCTCAATGAAGACATGGATGAGAAAATGGGATTTGCAATTGAATCTAGTTTTGAATGGCAAAATATCACTGACTTCAGAGAAGCTGGTGGATCTTTAACAGAAATCAAAGTAGAAGAGGAAGAGGAGGATCCGCAGAATTTTGAAGTGAGTGACTGACATACATTAGCTATATGCAATATGGCCTTTGTTTCATTTCAGCATAAGGCTTTTTGCTGTGTTTCTTCATAGCATCTGTTTCTGGTTTTTCTGAATGTGTGAATTAAAGAAACTGTAGAAACAAATATGTTTCAGAGACATGATACTCAAATCTAGCAACTTGCAATTGTGTGTAAGTCTTGGGTGTTGATTATTAAATTGATATCCCTCAACTTTGAATATGTATTTGGATGTATATTTTCCATTTGTATGTGCCATAGAAAAGAATTAGTTCAGTCAGTAGAATGAAAATGCGCTCTTGAAAGCAACTGGTTATTTTAATACTTAGGCTGTCTGGATGGATGAACAGAGAAGAGAAATGCACCTCTTTAACAAGTGAAAGTATATGTTACCTGCAGGTACAGAAGGAAACAGAATACTGTTTGCATTTCTTAAAATGAACCCATAGGAGATGAAAACATTACTTGAATAAGTCAGTCAACCATTCCTCTCTGTCAGAATTTTAGTGTGAATTTGACAAGCGGCTGTGGATCCTGTAGACAGGTTGTTACTCCTAGTAGTACTGTGACTGTCCTGGGGTAGGCAGCCAGCTGGAGTGAAGTTGAGTATTTGGATAGTTTTCTTGTACCTGTACAAATTATGTAGGTCTCATTTGAAAAGGGGGTACTCAGTTTTGGTTTGGTGGTTTTTTTTGGAGAGGAGAGAGGGGAAAGCAGCTCCTGTCTTAGCTCAGTTGAGATGTGTGCTGGGAAAAAATCGGCATAGGCTGTTAAATGGTAGTGAGACTACTGTCTGACAACTGCTGAAGAACAGTGTCTGTCTGCTCAAATGCTAGAGGACTGGCAGTGGCTCTCATTGTCTTAAGATTTTCTGAACCCCTATCTTCCTCAGTTTGCCTTTCTTTTGCAGTATACTTAGTGGGAGACAGTTATCCCTCCTGTACTATGAATGTGCGGCATGTAAGGGCTATAATTCTGCACAAGTCATTACAGTCCACAAAGAGCAATGGCCCTAACCACCTAGTCATCTGCATCATAAATAGCTTTACAGCAAATGTGATAATACAAAATTGGTTAAACAGGTCCTGTTTATTCACCCACTTACCACAGTTTGAAGGGTAGGAGCATGTGAAAAATGTCAGTGTTAAATGTCTTTTAGAAATGGAATCCTCAAGTTAGCGAAGGCTGGGTTAGCTTACATACCACATAGACTATGGATCCAGCTGCTCCGATAAATAATTAGTCACAACAAATTCCTAGTGGCTTACATAAATGTCACTGAGCTATATGAAAAGTAAGAACAACATATGCTTTTTTAAATCCAGTTTTCTATCAGTGGTTCTGAATGCTCTGTAATATCTATTGTGCAGTATTTTCTGTACATTCTTGCATGCCCACTGACAAGCTGATTTTCCATTTTTCATTACCAGATATTAATTGGTAGATAAAGCGTATTTCTATACCTGTGTAAGGGTAGAAACCAGTCTTTTGCTCTAACATGGTTGTCTCACAGCATGTGAGTTAAACAGTTCTGAATAGCTTTTAAGATTAAAAAAAACAGTATGTTCTTTTCAGTCAAGTTGTGTGTAACAAATTTATTCCGGCATAAAGACTGGAATGTAATTCCTGTCTATTGCATTCCTCTCTGCAGTTTCCTATTGAGGAAGAAGAAGAAATTTTGTCATCAGTTTTGCCAGATTCGAAAAAGGAAAATGACCTACCAGACTTCCCCCACATTGAAGAGTTTGGAAATCTAAGCTCTGCTCAAGCTAGGCTAGCCTATGAAGATTCTCACTTGCTTATAAATCTGGAGAAGCAGAAGGTAGAGCTGGAGAAGCAGCGACTAGACATTGAAGCAGAAAGATTGCAAGTGGAGAAGGAGCGCCTGCAAATTGAAAAAGAACGGTTGCGACATGTTGACTTGGAGCGTGAGAGACTTCAGATTGAGAAGGAGCGACTTCAGATTGAATGGGAGAAACTCAGGCTAGAGACTCTGCATGCTGAAAAACCTGCCCTGGAAAATGACCTTGCCCAAACAGAAAAACCCATCATGCAGCCTCTGGATCTAGAAACTGAAAAGTTAAAGCTTGAAAAAGAACGTTTGCAGTTAGAGAAGGAGAGGCTGCAGTTCCTAAAGTTTGAGTCAGAGAAGCTGCAGATTGAGAAGGAACGCTTGCAAGTGGAGAAGGAGCGCCTTCGAATTCAGAGAGAGGGTCACTTGCAGTGAACTTCTTGACTGAAGTGTTAACATTAGTGTTTTGATGTTTGTAAAATAGAGGTAGTTCTTTTCTTAATACTGAAACTGTCTTAGAGGCTTAACATTCTTCTGTTCAGAGTTGAATGTTGATGTTAAACTGAAAAAAAAGGTGCTCAGTATGTCAGTGTGCCTACATAAATGAGCTTATGTGTGAAATTGCTTTTCAATGTATCAGAACTAAGTGTTATGTTCTCTTGTCTTCAGTATTGTGTTGTGTTAGTTCAGTGTCCTCCTCTCGTAGACACAGTGAGAAGAATCAAGGCTGAACCTTGTACTTTTTTCACTGTACTTTTTTTCACTGTACTATCAGTAAGGAAGGATCAGAATAAATTGACGTATGTTGTGAGGGCATGGTGCTGATGATAGCCCACACAGTAAATAAGTATAAGTTAGACAGAACACGATAACACGGAGTCATGATGCAATTGATTCATTAAACTTAATTTCCCCTTTTTGTTTTTTTCCACCCCCACAACTGGAAAAAGAGTTCAAGAATTACCTAAAAGTTAAAGTACAAGTTAAATTCAGTGCAGTTGTATTTACTGTTGTTCCATGGCTTGAACTGAATGAGAGTGTAGAAAATAGTATTACTCCTTTTGCATGAAGTATTCATACTAGATAAAGTTGCACATCAACTATACCTACTATAAGCTGGACTGTTGGTTGCACCAGGTCATTAATAATGCTATATGGAATATAGCACCTGTCTTAGTATAGCATAGGGACTTACTGATTGATCAGGCATGCTGTCTGATGAGTCTGTGATGACCCCCTGAAGTGAATTGCTAGACCTGGGTTGTTCCTTGAAAGATATAGCTGGTGATGGGAGTGGAGACACAGAGGCTGAGCACAGACCAAGGAGTGCTGAGCTTGAACACTAACACTCTTGATGTTAGTTCTGCCTGGTCAGCACTGAGGTCATGTCTGTGAGGCAGCCAGAAAATGGCTGACACCATATAGTGTGTTTTAATTAGACAAACAGAAATGGTCAGTGCTGAAGGCTGTCAGTATTTTTCATAAGCAATGTAAAATAAAAAAAGACAAGCTTTCTATTATTTCATATATGTTTAAATGCCAACTGAGCCAGACTTTGCGTTTCTCACCTTTCTGCAAGTAACTCTCTTTTGTTGACTCCATTTGAAACTTAAGACTATGAGAATACTAAATCTGAATATATGTTGAGTGACTTACATGGATTCTTGTGCAAGTAATTATATTTATACCACTACAGGATTACTTTTATTCTGCAAAGAAAATGTTATTTTTTTATTACGGAAACAAGTGTGCTTCTACAGTGGAAATAAATTTGACTACTGCAACCCAAAATTGCTCTTGAGACTGTTGCTTCATAGAGAAATAGGGCTGGATGTGAAGAGAAACCTGGATGCTCAACACTGCAGCACCCCAAAGTCACAGGTGCCTGTATTCCCTGTGTAGTAAATTGGAAAGATGAGACATCTCAAAGTAGGACTTAAACCAATGAGCACTTACTTGAGAAAGGGAAAAGGAAGGAGACATAAACCAGCTGGATAGAAATGCCCCAGTGGGAAGTTCATCTGAGATTCTTCTTCCTGAATGTGGTGGGTTGACCTTGGCTGGATGCCAGGTGCCCACCAAAGCCGCTCTACCACTCCCCTCCTCAGCTGGACAGGGGAGAGAAAATATAATGAAAGGCTCATGGGTTGGGATAAGGACAGGAGGAGAACATTCACCAATTACCATCATGGGCAAAACAGACTTAACTTGGGGAAAATCAGTTTATTACCAATCAAATCAGAGTAGAGTAATGAGAAATAAACCCCAAATCTTAAAACACTTTCCCCCCACCCCTCCCTTCTTCCCGGGCTCAGCTTCACTCCCAATTTTCTCTACCCCCTCCCCCCAAGTGGCACAGGGGGACAGGGAATGGGGGTTGTGGTCAGTTCATCACACGTTGTCTCTGCTGCTCCTTCCTCCTCAGGGGCGGACTCCTCATGCTCTTCCCCAGCTCCAGCGTGGGGTCCCTCCCATGGGAGACAGTCCTCCATGAACTTCTCCAATGTGGGTCCTTCCCACGGGCCAGAGTTCTTCACAAACTGCTCCAGCGTGGGTCCCCCATGGGGTCACAAGTCCTAGCAGCAAACCTGCTCCAGCGTGGGCTCCTCTCTCTCCACAGCTCCTGCCAGGAGCCTGCTCCAGCGTGGGCTTCCCACGGAGTCACAGCCTCCTTGGGGCACATCCACCTGCTCCGGCGTGGGGTCCTCCCCGGGCTGCAGGTGGGTATCTGCTCCACCGTGGGCCTCCATGGGTGCAGGGGCACAGCCTGCCTCACCATGGTCTTCACCAAGGGCTACAGGGGAATCTCTGCTCCGGTGCCTGGAGCTCCTCCTGCCCCGCCTTCTTCACTGACCTTGGTGTCTGCAGAGTTGCTCCTCTCGCATATTCTCACTCTTGTCTCCAACTGCAGTTGTGCAGGTTTTTTTCCCCCCCTTCTTAAATACATTGTCACGGAAGCACTACCGCCATCGCTGATGGGCCCGGCCTTGGCCAGCGGCAGGTCTGTCTTGGAGCCGGCTGGCATTGGCTCTATGGTTCACAGAGGAAGCTTCTAGAAGATTCTTACAGAAACCACCCCTGCAGCCCCCCCATTACCAAAACCTTGCCATGCAAACCCAATACAAATTGGCATTGGCTGTATTGGACATAGGGGAAGCTTCTAGCAGCTTCTCACAGAAGCCACCCCTGTTAGCCCCCCCCTTACCAAAACCTTGCCATGCAAACGCAATACACTAAAATAAAGTGACAAATTTTCAGCTCCCTGATATGTATCAAACAAATTTATATTAAAAATAGCTTTCTGTGCCCATTACTGTTTTCTCTTGATTTGAAGAAATTACTTATCTTTCCCTTTTAAAACATGAGAGAAGCAGAATTCGGGAAGTTTGTCAGGATTGCCTGGTGCATAGAGCATTTACCCAGATAGCGGGATAACTTGGATTTCATGATCACTGTATCCTGAGGTGACCGACTTTCTAGGTGACTATTCTGACTGCCAAACAGGGTGAGTAGGAACAAGGGGCAACACAGCCAGCCGTGCAAGAGGTAGTGACCAGAAGGACCAAGCCAGGACAGAGAACCTTCCTACGGTCTTGTCTGTAAGAAGTACTTGGCCAGGAACAAGCAGGTGTGGAGTCTGGCTCCGGTTTCGACAGGTAGTTATGCTGCTGCGTGGTACCAGCACCTCTGTCTTCATATTTTACTCCAGTTGAATGACTTAACTATTAGGATAATGGTTTGTATTTTACATTGGGCATCTTGGGAATTATGCCTCAAGCACATTAAAGGTTTTGGGGAAAATAGATAAATCTGAACCATTTCTGAATTCTCAGTAATTTCAGAAATTTGAATGCTTCTCCAAATGTGAATAGAGCTGTATGTAAGCAATTATTTCTTCTAACAGCTATGCAGCCTCCTAGGGAACTGATGCATCCTTTGGTTATACAAAACCTTTTGGAAAATACTGAATGATGAAATTAAGTATCGTCATAAATCATTGAAAATACAGTTTCAACATAAAATTCAGAGAAAATTACAGAGTTTAATACATCAATTTTATAGCTTGCTTTTTTCATACCAAAATTGCAGTCATTTTGTGGTAATTTGAATTTAAATGTAATTTTTTAAAATACTAATCTGCAATCTCTTAAACCTTAATTGCTTGATTTAGCAACCTGGGATCCTGACAGCAAAGCCTGAGGGCAAAATTTGGACCATGTAAATGTCACCAAAGTCAGGACGTACGCATGAACTCAGTTCCTCTGTTAGAGAGGGAGAGATTTTTTACTCCTGATTAAAAGAAGGGCCTGTGATTCTAAGTAACGAGCGACATTTCCAGCCTGGAAAGGGTTTTAAAAAAAGGGTGAAACCACTCACATATGGAGGAAGAGGCAAGTATTTGGAGGAAAAAAAAGGAAAGGTGTGACAATCAAACATTTAGTAAAAGGGAAGGTAGGTGAAGCTGGTGATAGATAAAACAGTGCTGGAAATATCCCCAGTGGTCATTGCAAACTGCTTTATCGAGGTAATGTCTGATGCACGGATGTCAGATCTCGTGGCTCTGTGGCCTCTCATGGGATGTATGAACGGGTGTCGTGGTTTAGCCCCAGCCAGCAACTCAGCGCCACGCAGCCGCTCGCTCACTCCCCCT